TTCTACGTTTGGGCTGGGAACCGGAGGAGGCACCTGTGGTCGCCGCCGCCATCCCCCCCATCTGCGGGAGGATGTTTTCCTTTTCTACCGTTCAGCCTCAGGTGAGAGGGCTCACGGAGCGCACCGGAGGCGGTCCCGGCCCCTTGCGGTGCGCAGCTCGCCGTCTTCAGGGCCCTCTCTCCGCTGGGCTATGCTCGGGGGCTCGTTTCACGTACGGACGTACGGATAGAGGCAGCGGGTCTGGGCGGAGGCACTCGGGAGAGCCGGAGATTGCGGGCCTCGGCTGAAGGAGCCGAGATCCCGGCTGCCACGTTTCTGGAGCTTTGGAGAGCGCCCATGGGGCGTGAGCGAACGAGGTGTGGGGGGACGCATCGCGAGGGGGCTGTCGGCTCGGCGGAACCGAGTGTCTAGCGGGGAGAGGAGCGTAGGGGGACTACAGCGGCTTGGGATCCTTACCTAGGAAAAATAGGTAAATGGAGGCGAGAAGAAGGTACAGTGAAAGGTTGTAAAATCTGAAATGAAGAAGTAACCTAAAGATGGCGCTTTTTAGTATTTGTTTTTGTAGTAGAAACAAGCGAGAGGAGTGCTACTGCAGCTAAACTGTGTTGTTAATTGGCACGGGTGGTTGTGGAGACCAAAAATAAATTACTTAAAAGTTAGAAGAGTTAGCGGAGGACAAGTCATTTGTTACACAGAACAAGCTGGATGCAATCGGGAAGGTATCTCTTACTAAATAGCGAGTTGGATGGGACTAGTGGGTTTTATGGACTTTGATCTGAACTAGGGAACTTTATTTTTACTTTTTCCGTTAGGGGGATTAGTATGTGTTAGTCTTATTCCACAGTGGGATTTGTTCTTTCCAGATGTGGAGAATGTGTTATTTTTTTTTGTTAGTGCAGTGAAATGAGAGAATTTGTAATGATATTTTTAGGAACGTGTCATTCCACCTTTTCATAGTGGGAAATGCAGTAGGACAGCTTGGTTAGTCGTTGGGATGCTGGCTTTGACCTCTGGAGGCTTCATGGTTTTACCACAAACTCTGAGAGTAGTAATTATAACTTTGGACAATTAATTCTGAGGTAGTTTTCATGTCTCGCAGCATTATTTCTCTTGATCTGCCTAGTCAACACAGAGATGGAAGTTCTTGCTGAAGGACATTCATAGGCAGAGGCTTAATCAGGTATTGATTGCAATCTGGTATTGTTCTGGCAGCCAGAGTTGCACCCCAACTATCTTCCCTAGTGATGTGTAATGAGGCTGAGGCGTTTTGGAAGTGTTGGGATTATTTGTACCATATAGTCACAATAGACATAGTCATGTACTAGGGGAGGAGCTAAAGTGAGATGCCAAGGAAGAAAACATAAAGAAAACTTTTGGAAATAACTTGTATAATGCAGGGAAAAAATATAGATACTTCAAGTTATAAAAGTATTACTTCATAGATGAAAATAGGTATTGTTTGGAAATAATACAAAAGTCAGTAGTACTTAAGAATGGTGATCTGTGAATTAGTAAGATGTTGCTAAATCCTTATGATTTAGTGCTGTTCAAAAGCAGCCACTGAGCTTTCTGTTCAAATTGGTTCAAGGGGAACCAGCTTAATGAGATCTGTTGCTTGGATATCTGTTGAGGGGTGATCTAGAATTTACTGTAAAATTTCATATTAAAGTCAGAAAAAAAGGCCTACCACTAAATAGAGCACCTCTTTTACCATTTGTTTTCTGTTTGTTGTTTAAAAAACATCTCTTTGCACTGTGTTGTGAAGTCTCGTCGGGATGGTGATCTTAGTTTTGTGTTGGTGTACACATTTCTTTGAAAGAAGGGAAAGTTCCTGAATGACAGTAACTATAAACAGGCTTTAAACATTTCAAGAGATGGTGTCAACTTACAGGCTTTTCAGGATAGAAGTAATTTTCTATTGTTTTTCTTCTCTTTTTCTCCCCTTATTGCTTGTGCTTCTTTTTTGTGTGGTTTTTATTGGTATGTGGGGGACAAAACACCTATTTGGAATGTAAGTTAATTGACTGTGGTGGAGATATGGTGACAAGTAAAGAACATTGTTTCACAAGGTTTTGTGTTTTATTTCCATGAAATGATTGTGAAGTTTCTAGTATTTGTCAAAAGACAGCAACATCCTTATTGTTCTGTCATCTGGTTGCAACAGCACATATCTAACATAGCAAATAAGTGATACATTAAAAAAAAAAAAAAGAAAAAACATTGGAAAAAAAAATTCTGAAGTGTAGTAGCAATTTAGTTTCCCTGCTGTTTCAGTTGAGAACTATCTGTAAGAAGTTGTCTATTATTTTTGGTAACTAAACATTGTCTTAAGTGCAAACTGAGGGCCATCTTTCTATCTCCTAAACGTCAGCGATTTGTACCTACTTCTGTATTTGCAAATCTAGTGATTATTTTCTTTAAACCATGCTTATGTTTGAAAACCAGGAAAGGTAGCTTTTTTTTTTTTTCTCTTCCAAGCTTTGTGATCTAATTTGTCAGACGTACTTTAACTTTCTTTTTTCTTTAAATAGAGGTATCAGCCAACACTGTGGTATTGAAGCTAAATTCATGTGGTTTATTATGAAGTCCTCAAAAGGCAGTGTACAAGATATGCCATTATAAGACAGGGTTTGAAGTAGAGATATGTTTATATAGTTTAAACCAGCTTAAATCAGTATCTGTTTTTTTTTTTTTCAGGCTACCGTTCCTCTGAGTCACCTTATCAATGCCTTTCATTCACCAAAAAGCTCCACTACTACTGCCAGCACAGCATCCGCACAGCCTGTCCAGAGGGAAGCCTCCCCAGAAAATGATCCTCATAAGAGTGAGGTACTAAAAACCTTTAGAAAAAGTGTTGGTTTGCTTTTAGCTGAATTAAATCTGAACAATATCAGTTTAAGTGAATTTCATCTTTGACTTGTTTTATAAAATAATGTGCCTAAACAAAACAGAATGTTAACACACAAAATGTAGTTTTTTGACAGGACCTCAGTCAGTTGGTGCTTTGGCAGTAAGAATTCTATGAAAATTCTATTTCATTAATAAGAAAAAAGCTAGTACTTGTCTAGTAATTTGCAAGTGAGGAGGGGATTTATTTTCACTTTCAACTTAATTGTTACTTTAGAGCAAGAAACATTACCTTTTCTGTTAATAAACTCCTTACTGTCTTTTCACACTCAGAGTTCTACAGACGTTTGTTTCATTATTGATTATGCGAAAACAGACTGTAACTTAAAATCTGTTGAGGGTTTTTAAATAGCATATTGGCATGTTTTCTTATTTTTCTATTAAAATATCATCCATTATCATTAGGTATCTTTTGTTCTTCACATTGACAATCAAAATACAGAAAGTGCAAAGCAGTATCAGGTCTTGCCACTTTTCTTTCAACTAATTTCTTAGAACAAGCTTTATAACTAAGAAAATGTTTGTGGGGAAAAACATGGAATCTGTCACTAACTGCAGAACTTTGGATATCAACATGTGTTGTACTAGTCATCTCTGAGTTGTGACTCCATTGTTGTGTTGGTTTTGTATTTTTGGTGCCTCTGATGATAAAATTTTATTTCAGTGGGAGACCTGGATTATTGAATAAAACTGAAAGTGTGTTTCATTTATTCAGTTCTCTTGCTAAGTAGAAAGACAAATACAGAATCTGGCCTCCTTTAAATACAGAGGGTTTTTCACATTTAATATTTTCTCTCTAATTTATCATATACCTGTTTGCTTCCTCCTAGCATGATAAAAGTGTAACAATAATAATTAAAACCCCCCTCTTAATTATTTTTAAAGAAAGTTTCTAAAAGCAAGTTGATTAGATTATAATAAACCTAAGCTTAAATAAATGTTAAATTTTAAATTACCAAATACTGATATAGAGACTGCAGTTATAATATTGCATAAAGTCGAACTATTAGAATGGCAAAAATCATTATTTGAGAATGTGAAGCCTCTGCTGTGAAGTTAAATCTGTATTTTGAAGTAGTAACCTCTTCTGAGGGGTCTCAGAAAATGTTACATTTAAAAAATGTTTTTAATCTTCTTTGCTCCGCTTAGCATTTCAGTATTTTTCCAAGCAATTATTAAGCTGAAGTAGGAAGGTTTGATCTACTCCTTTAAACCATGTGTAAAAGTGAAATGATGTTTAAAAATGTATTCATACTTATTTTGAGTATAAGTGGACCAGAAGCAATCTGCCTTAGCCTTTAAAACAGAATACTTTTGATAACTTAAGAAATCCGTTTGAAACTAGAAACTTTGAATGTGGTGGTATTCTGGATGCATCTAGGAATCTGTTCTAAAAGTGCTTCTCCTGAGAGATAATTCAAGCATTTTTTTATGTATGTCTTTTTATTGGAAATCTAGTTTCACCTTGAAAGTAGATCAACATAAAGCTTACATAAAAACAATTTAGGAAGAAAAAATCTCTAATGCTCTAATAAGAATTAAAAAAAAAATCTGTGCAAATACATTTAGAATAGAGTATTTCTCACTTAAGAAAATGTTACTGTAGAAGCAGTATTGAGAGGCTAATAGATATTTTAAAGGGTACAAACCAGTACCTATTTTTAAAACATACTCTCCTATTAAAAGATTTTTTCCCTATCTGTAAAATACAAGATTGAAATTACTTTGGTCAAGGTTACTTCTTTAGTAACTTAAGTGTATGTGCCTTACATCCTCATTTTTTTTCATAGTTTCTCTGCTTTGTAGGATACAACAGATACAAGTACTTACCCTTTCCCCATAGAAACTTTGGCCTTTCATTGTGTGTCTAACCAGCTCATGTCTTTTTAAGATTTTAACTGTGGGTATAGTTTCCATATATCCAGTCTTTGTGCTGCTGTTGAATCTGTACTATCTGTAAAAAGACTAGCAAAAAAAAAAAAAAAGTTGAGGGGATTTTGCTGTTTGTTCACTTGGATCAAATACAATGGGTGGCTATTGCTGTACATCTTTCCCTCTTGCAATCTCCGTTTGCTCTGTCATAAAGAGTAGAAAGAGTTGGAAAACTGCATTTTTTTTCTCTGCCTGCTTCAATCAGGGAGCAGGAAGGTCTTAAAAGACTGAATTGGGAAGAAAATATGCTTGTCATAAATGTACTGTGACAATGAAAATGTCAGCGTGTGCAAATGGAAGAGTTATTTTGCACTGATAGGACATGATTGAAGAAAGAGTATTTGCTCCTTTCATTCGTTTAAATTTTTTTTCTTTCAGTCTGAACTGTGAAATACAGATGCTGTATTGAGCCAAAAAGTGAACTCATTCTTAATTTTTTTTCCCCCACAGGCAATCTTAAGTAAATTTGAACATTTATTTCTATTTTGCAGTCTGTACTTAATTTAAGAGACCTGGGATTGTCTGATTTGAAAGCTAACCAGTTCAAAGAACTGGTGAACAGGTTGCTTCCTGGCTGCTATGCGGAAAACAAAGTCTCTTCACAGTGGCATACATCATACATCTCTGCTGAGTCCTTCTTTGAAAATAAGCATGGTATGTTTCAGAGTAAAGTGCTAGTGAGAATTGATAAGATTATAAAAGTGTACACAGTTATTCTTTAATCTCTTGTCCTGTAGATAACTCATAGTTTAAAAATCTTTAATAAAAAGAGTATTAATGCTTTTTTTTTTGTATACAGGTTGTCTCTAGAGTGGTGCTTTTGAATTTTGGGAATTTCAGGAAATTCAATACAGATTTTGGAATTGTTTCTTCAAATTCAGATTTGAAGTTGGCTGCTATTAAACTTGTCTGAACTCAGCTGTAGTCCAAGGGCATTGTCTCTTGAATTGGTGAAAAAGTTCATAGTTTAGGCTCATCATTGCTTCACCAAATAGAAGGAATTAAGTTTTGCTAATCTACTAATGTAACACAGTCATGAACATCTCCAGTTTACATTAAGTTATTCCTTTTTTGATTGAAGCAACATTACCTGAGGACATTAATTAGAAGGGAATTCAGAGTGGCAAACTCATAGCAGTCCATGTAGAGTATTTCATTGCTGAAATACACCAAGAGTGATTCCTTACAGTTAAAGATGTTTTGTTGAGATTAGCCTAAAATACAGGAAGCAAGACCATTGTAGATGCTCAAGAATGAGTTAAAAAAAGAAGCATATAGCTGACATTTGCTACACTGCCTGTACAGTATTGTAGTTGGGAGAAAGAGCATTAAGAATAGTATCTCAGGACTACTATTAGAGAAGTCTTAAATTGCATTGTGATGCAAGATATTAAAAAATTAGCCCAGAAGCAGTTTCCTGAATGTGAAGAAGAAAGTTGCAAATGCTTTAGACCTTTGATAGATGAGGGTGGAAGCTCACCAGACTGGTAGTTTTCATTCACAGTTAATGAGGCGAGGTTATAGGTGGAAAACTGCAACAGGCAAGGGAGGTGCTAGATCTTCAAGCATATGCTTTTGGTGTAGGTGACACTGCATGCTATGGATGACTGTTACTGTCATATGTGTATGTTGTGCAAATACTTGTGCATAAAGTGAGGAGAGTATTTCTGTTATTGAAATGTATTTGTTCATAATTATGTTGTACTAGATTTGCCAATCTGCAGTATTGCGGAAGGTCGTGGAATGTACAGCATTTTCGAATTAATAGCTGATTTTTCTTCTCCTTCCCATAGTTCCTCAGTACTTTGCTTGTTAGCTTGAAAGTTGTTATTACAATCATATACCTTCAAAAAATTTAGTAAGAACTTTCAGCGTTCTTTTTTGCTGTCCTTGATGTATCTTAACTGGTGCAATAACTTTCTCAGAATATGTAAAATAAATGAAAAGCCCCATCCTTTTTGTGATAAAATTAGCTTCTGAATTTGTACGGAAGAGAGCATATATAGGCTTGGCCTCAACTTTTTCCCCTTCCTCCTCAGGTTTCTGATGTTTCTTAAATAATTCTTACTTTCTAGGTGAGGATGAGTTCTTTGAACTTTTGGTAACTAAACAACAGATAAATGACAGTTCTCTGGTCTTGCAGTCAGCAGTGTGCTTGACATAGTATCTGCTGATAACTTTTTCATGGAGATGTTCTTTTATTTCTTCTTGTTTCTGTATTGTATGAGGACTGTACGATTAAGTAGACAGTATAGTTTAAAATGTTTTCATGCTTTATATGTAGTCTGTTTGAAAATGCTTGTGAGGAATCTATTCTTTAAAGCTGGAAAACTGAATGATTGGTTGAATACTGGTACTTCAGCTTCATGAAAGTCTTTGGATTCCTGTCCGGTATAGATAATTTTATTCAGCTCTGTACAGATGTGCAGAGTTTTACCTCCTAGATACAGCTTCAAATTCAAGATTCTGGGAACCAGTGTTTTTTGGAAGTTCTAATTAGAAAAAGTTCTGGTATATTGTAAAGTGCCTGACGTAGGTTAATGCAAAGAAGTTAACTATATGGTAATGGTTAATTTGTTTAATTACAGATGCGTGAAGGACTGTAGTAAAATAGAATTAATATTTAAGAAAGAAAAAACAACATATGAGAGACGTAATGTTTAGCTGCCATTTAATATAGAGTATATTTACACTTTGCTGTATCTTTTTGCAGGTTTTGTGGATGTTTTCAGTGCTTTACGCTCATCTTGTTTGTATAGACAGCGTCCTAATCCCCTCCAAAATTTCTGTTCAGATGTTCGGTGTTGGCCAGGTATGAAACAATAGGCAATGCTGGTTTTAATCTCTATAGTATCTTTTTATTTTGGGAAAATATTTTACCTTTGTCTTAGAGGTGTCACTCAAGAAATACCAGTAAACTTCGAGGAGGAACTTTAGATCATGAAGTGATTTTTGCATTTGAGTAGTATGTTTCCAGAAATAAATTAGTAAACATGGTGTAACTAGAATCTAGTTCAAAGATGTCAGTATTCGTAATTGTATTCTTAGAAGACGATATATGAGCTGATGACTATTGAATCTGTAAATATATTGGATCTAGTATTCATCCAGGTGAACTTTTTAAGGTGTTTGGTGACTGATTTAAACTACTCCTGGATGTATGATGGGTAACAACAGGGCAGCATTAGCAAGAAAATAAATCAGGAGGTCAGTGAGTTCAAGTATTCTCATCTATTCAGTTCTTTCTATGATACATCTGGATACTGTGTCTGATTTTGTGTCCCATGGTTAAGAGAGATATTCTGACAAAATGGAGATAGCCCAGTGATGGGCCACAAGGAAGGGTGCAAATTTTGGAGCATTTAATTTAATATTTTAAAGTTAGCAGAAGAGAAGGCAAGGAGTGACCACCAGATTGCCGTTTGCGATTCTCTTTCTACTGTGGATGTGTTGGGAAGATGATGTTCAGTTCAATCACAGTAGTCATTGTCATACAATAGTTTCTGAAATTTCATAGTCTTCTTTTGTAGTGGAGTAATGGATACTTTTTTGTTCATTTTTACTACTTTAAGTTTACATACAATCACGGAACTTTAAGACTTTGAGATCAAGAGCAAGACGTCTGCAGTCAACATCTGAACAATTCACAGAAACAAAAAATTCACTTTCTTCACTTTTGAAGGTAAATATGAGTAACATTATGAAATTGGTTTTGGCTTATTCAGACCACCTCTTTCTTTTGAATGAGCCTTCACAATTTACCAAGGGTATTTTGTTTTGCTCATGTGAAAAAGTTTCTTCATTCTAAAACTTGAGCTAATGACAACATACTGTTTTTCTTACTAATACACAGATTTGCTTCATGTATCAGCAATATAAAGATTATTTGAATCATTTAGGAGAGTAGTTTGAGTATAAAAATGGTTTTAAAATCTAGAAATAAAATGTATTCTGTTTTGGTGGCTTTGTTAAAAATAGCTTGGAGTCAAATGAAGTATTTGTTTAAACAGAAATACAGCTAGTTTAACACACAATAATATATATTTTTTTCCAAGCAGTTCAGCGTGTGATTGATGTTTTAAGAATAGATGTACTTGTGGCTAATATATTTTTAAAATACAGAAATTCTAAACTTGTTATTTTTATGAGTTACAAACTTACATGCATACTTTTAATTCAGCAGATAGCTATCCAAGTGGTAACAAAGCACTTAACAAAACCAAGTTAACCTAGCTACTCTTTGCTTCTAATTGGTGGACAGAAGTAAGGCTAATTAAAGCATTTGATCTTATTGTGTGTTAATTAGCTCCGAACTCTCTCCTTCTAGGCATATGTGGTTTATTTAATCTGTGGACTAGGTATACTGTGGGTGAAGATAAACCAGAGCTCACTCCATGCAGTGCTGCTTTAAAATTTGGTAGGGTGTATGAGATATATTTGATCAAGCTCTATCAAAACTATAATTACAAAGATATTTCATGTTTGGGAATAATTTAAATTAATTTCATGAAGCAAAAAGCTTAAGCTAATAACTCCTACTGAATCCCATGTATAAAGCTAGCGGTGTACAAATCTGCCTTAGGCTGTGTTTTCAGTTTGGAACTGGGGTCCAGGAGAACTCTGAACCTGACCTGTCAGCAAAAATTGGGGTGCCCCTACTGGAGCCATTGTGATTTCACACTCAAGCTACTGCCCTGTGTCATGTAACTAACCCAGAGCACCTGAATTACATGCTTTAAAAAATTTTTTTTTCCCCCTCACGCATGCTAGCCAGGTAGTAGGTTAATTGTGTATCAAAACTTAGTGTATACTAACACTGCTGTGGAAAATATTTTAGGGCTTTATCCTGAGAAAGCGAAGAATTGATGTTGAAAACTTAGATACACTAATGAAAACAAAAAACATCCCAGAAGCACACCAGGATGCTTTTAAAACTGGTTTTGCAGAAGGCTTTTTGAAAGCACAGGTATTCCTGCAAAAAACACTTGGTAAGTTGTTTTAGTTCATGTATCTTGTCTTTGTGTTCAGAAAGTAGTTTATTTCAGCCCATACTAAAACAATTTTGTTTTCTTTTACAGATTCATTAAGAAGATCCCGTTTACTTTCTTTCTTTCTCTTTGTTCTTTGTTTTTATCTTGCTATATATTCATCATTTTTACCTGGGAAAGGTTCCTTTTCTGATGCTGGTTAGTTAACTTTTTTTTCCTGGCAATTTTATTTGTTTATTCCAGCAGGTTTAGCACAAATTAAATGTCTTTTGACATTATGATTCTTCTAGAATAACATTTCAGTGTAGTAAGGAAAGAGAAGAGGTTTTTAATGCTTTTTGGTTGCAGCTTTTCAGATAGTAGTGTGACAAAATGTTTATGGAGACAAAAAAGTTGTCTGTTCGTATGACTACTTTAATTCTTTTGGTGAAACAATTATGTGGAACCAAGCAGAGAAGCAGTCAAACTGTTCACCAGTTACATATTTGTCTTTGAATTTAGATGATGTGTTATCTAGGTCAGCCGTAGGCAAAATGGTTTGATTTTTATTTGTAATCACAGCCTAGTTTATAGTGACTAGGTACTTGCATGGCCAAATTGTTGTCTTGAGAAATCAACTTCATGCAAAGTTATCACCTGGGTCTCAAGACAGTTAGGCTGTATGCAAAAACACTGAAGGAGAACTTCTGGCTTTGTGTACATGGTTTTGGGTGCAGAGCTTTCTGTACTATGAATGACTAAAAAGTAGTTATATCGCTGAATTTATTGCAAATATGTTAAAGATTTTAAAAAATAAATTTCATCCTTGCTGGACACTTAGAAGGGCATGTTTCCATTTACAAAAGTGCAGGTATAAAGTTAGTGGCTTAATTGTATGCATTCAAGTGCGAAGTTCAGTCTTGGAATGAAATTACTTCACCTGTAAATTTGTTGTTTATCATTTGCTGTCTACTATTAGTACGCTTTCGAACATCGAGTATCTTTGATGCAGCAGTTGATCCAATCCAGTTGAAAAATGTCACCTTTGAACATGTAAAAGGAGTAAGTTCAAAACTAAAGTGTATGTGAGTTCTTGCTTAACTTGTCATTGTGAGCCTGAAGGATGGCTTGCTCCAAGAAATTTCTTTCTATGAACTGAAGCCTTACATCTACTGGCCACTCCAAGATCAAGGAGGGTTTTAACCATGCTTGTTCTGTTTTATATCTTTGTGGCATTTAATACCTTATAAAAGGTGCACTCTTGACTTGTTGAATCATCTTTAAAGGCTAGGATAGCAAAAGGCATGCCTTAAGTATCCGTTTTAATCTGTTTTTTGCAGAAATTGACTTATACAAGAAGATGGCAATTCCATTTGATCATTTCTCCCTTAGTACCATCTCTTTCTGGATATCTGATATTAGGACAGGAGATACCGAGATTCCCAGAAAGTGGGCATGTCATTGCTGATGGGATAGCTTTATTTTTTCTGTTCAATTGTTCTTTGGCTTTTATGGCCCCTCTCCTTCCCCTTGGACAAATAGAATTAATCTCCTTTTAACTAATTAGACTAATACCTTGATGTAGAATTTTTGATTCTGTATTTATCTTGTTGGTCAGATCTGGTCTTGAACTGTCTTCTTATTCCTTCAGTATCACTAACTTTAGTATTTACTGAGTCATATGAACAGTTTTATGATATATATTGAATTAAACTCATAGACACTCAGTATCCACATGAATTCTGTGGTACACTTTTATCTCCTCTTTCTGTTGTGTATTTTTGACAATACACAATGAGAGACTTAGTATCTAACACAAAACTCACCTACAAAAAAGTTGTGGTATTTTATAAATGTTTAATTATATTTTATGACATGTTTTTAATGTGTAGGTTGAAGAAGCTAAACAAGAATTGCAAGAAGTTGTGGAATTCCTGAAAAACCCACATAAATTTACTGTACTAGGAGGTAAACTTCCAAAAGGTAGGAATCATTGCTCAGCAAAAGTGAAAATCATATGTACCTGTGGTTACCTTTGTAGTTTTGTTCTATACCTAATGACTGATGTAGAGCCTAGCTTCTGAATACTTTTTCCTTTAGTTAGGGAATCAAAAAAGTATATAACCAAAATGGGCCTAAATACTACTGTTGTATTTAGTTTGTATCTGGGAAAAATAGTGAAATAATGTTAGTCATAGTGGATTTCCTTGTTTGTTTAAAGTACTTGAGGAACAAATGAATCTTTAAAGAGAGTTGTGAAAGTTTCTTTATTAAAGGATACCATTAAACTGAGGTACTTGGGAGTGGGGATTATGGTATTTATGTTGCACGCTTCCTGTCTTACATACAGTTCCCCATATGTAAAAATTGGTCATTACTGCCTACCCTCACAGGAGATTTGAGGTATCTGAGATATTCAGATAGAAGCAGCAAAGAGGCCTGGATACATCTTACATTCGGTAGAAATCCAGTAACATTGGGCTTAATAAGCTATGACAGTGCAGAGCAGTGGACTGTAGGTTCTAGGCAAAACCACTTTCAAATATCAGTTGTTAGCTGCCTTAGTATTTCTTTGAAGTTCCAAGTAACCTTTTAGAGATGATATATTGAACTATGAAAATTCTTTTACTTTATCACTGAGCATAACATAGTATTAAAAAAATACGTACGTATAAAGTTATGTATAATTGTTGTTAATGCCTTTTTGAGTAGAACTTTATGTATCTCAGAGGTTTTTAGGTCTGTCTTACCAGCCTCTGCTGCTGCCCCCTCCCCATCTACAAGGATATCTTTTTTGAAGTTAATAGCTTCCTGTCACCAAATTTTTAATTCTGTTGTATGTTTTCCCATCTTGAGAAAGATATGTAACATAAGTTTAGTCGCCCCCAAAACAACCTGTAGTATGCAAATGGTTTTTGGGGTTAGACAAAACTTACAGTGCCTTCTTCAGGTATTAAACTAATATATAGTAGTTCTTTATCTTGAAAGGCGGGGTTTTTTATGTAACTGAACTCTTAAAAGGCCTTCATTTTTTCTGTACAGTTTTCAGCACCTTTACGGCTTGCTAACTGCTTTAGACAGTTCAGAAACCAATGTTTTCATTAGAAAGGATTATTGAACTTGATCGTAGTAGGAGGCCAAATGAATCTGAAACACATAAACCTGATAAGTCTGTTTCCTGTCAGTGCTCTACGCTGTTTAAAGTCAATTACTTGGAATGATTTAATTTTTTTTAAAAAAAGTTCCAATTTCAGAAATGGCTAGGACAGTGTCAGTTTGAAGAAGACACAGTTAGGGATTCAGCTGCTAAACTCAGCAGTAATTTTGTAGAATGCTTCAGGCTTCTGTTTTTATTTGATAGTCTTACAAGTTTTTGTTGTTACGTAAATATGGATTAGAGTATCTAGATTTGTTACAGGAGACTGCTTCAGACTGCAAGTAATGAGGAGGATCTGAAATGGGATGGTAACACGATTTTTTGAAGCCAAGTGTAAATTATTTCTTCTAATACATGGAATAAACAGTACCCATGTAATAAGACTTTGTAAGTTTGGTGGGTTTTTTCTTAGTTTTTTTTTGTTGTTGTTTGTGTTTTTAGGCATTCTGTTAGTTGGACCACCTGGTACTGGTAAAACTCTTCTTGCACGGGCTGTAGCTGGTGAAGCTGATGTTCCATTTTATTATGCATCTGGATCAGAGTTTGATGAGATGTTTGTTGGTGTAGGAGCTAGTCGCATCCGAAGCCTATTCAGTAAGTTAAATCTTTGTGGTTTTGAAATCTTTTCACATGCGAGATTAAGTATTCAGCATTGTTTACAAGGTTTGATTAATGACAGTTGTGGTTACTGGAAAGTGGTATTGTATGAGGCTGATAAATAAAACTTCATTTGTGTAGCTAAATCTGAGGATTCCTTGAGCATCAACTAACTATAGGATCTTGCTAGTTGTCAGATGAAACTATAGCAAAAATTGTGACTGATTTTACAACACTCCCAGAGAGAATGAAAATAATTTAATTAGAAATGTAGTCTCCTGTAAACCAAATAAAATATTTTAAATTGTAATTTACTTACATAAATTTTTGCAAATTTCAATTAAGTTGTAAATTTAAGATAAAAAAAGGTGTTAATGTTCTCGATTACTTCCCTCATATTTTTTTTTTTTGAATTTTTGAATTAGAACTTTATGGCATCACAGTATAGCACTAAGCTGAGACTTCATTTCTCATACCCATCAACAGGTCCAGAATAAAGGGCATTATAATGAAACTGTTAAAATTAATGTTCGAATTGATAACTTTCACAGATTAGGCTTTCTGTGTTGAGTGTATAAATAACTATCAGGGGAGAGGGGGAATTCAACTTCTCTTAAATGGAAAATTGATAGTGTCAGGCATATACAACGTGGTAGAAAATAGTTTGCATTTGTAGAAGAAATGTGACTTGCTTCACATGGAAAGAATGCAGAATTTAACTTATGTTATACCTTAAAGTGTATGTTTCTCTCCATTGACTACAGAAGTTTAGATGACTGCCTTGTACATTAATATCAATGTCACAGATACGTCTGGCTGGGTGAGATGAGTTGCGTGCTGGTATGCATGTACCTGTTCATGGTCTTGAAGTTCATTGTTACGTTTTTATTTTGTGTAATTATTACTACCTGGACTGGGAGCCCAGCGAGTCATAAAGGTTTCGTGATCCCCTTGTGTTAAATTAATGTAAAATGATGCCAAACAGTTAAAATGTTTTACTTGTGGTAGAAGTAACTTAAACTTGGAAAAGGATAGTAAGCAATGTGGCCTCTTACTGGTAAATCTATCAGAAAGGAAAGAAAAGGAAGGGAGAGAAAGAGTCAAGGAATCTGGATCATTACCCCAGGTTCCAGCGTTGTTTTGGGGCCCGTAATCTTGGGTGGTGGGTGCACAGCTAGCAACCAATCCAGTTTTCTGTTACCTTTTAAGTTCACTTTATCAGCTGATTTGCCTACTAGATGAGGAGAGGTGGGTTTTCCATGAACTCATTAGCATGAGAGACAAAAAAGGTAGAGCATTGGTTCTGTGCATGCATTGAGGGGGAAGAGGGTTTAACCCTTTCGTTCAGTTGAGTTGGTTGTGATCTCCACTTGCTATCTTTACCTTTCCCTCTGTTACTGTTTTTTCCTGACTTCATGCTTCTTGGGCAACCATCCAGCCTTTGGCTCCTTCTGGGGCAGATGTTCACCTCTTACCAGACTTTTAGCTCTTCTTCAGGGGTTTAGTCACTAGCAAGGCCTGCATCATTTATGCAAAAGTATCAGGCTTACACAATAGAGCCAATGGTTAGATGTCCTTGTTGGAAGATCATTGCAGCAAACATTTCAGTGAATGTTTGAGGCATTAACTCCTTCAGTTCCTCGCAATATTTAATACCTGTAAACTTGAAGGTAAGGTCTTCACTGTTAAATAACAAGCAGGTTCTATTAAAATGTTAGTGTTTAGACCCATCACACTTCATACTATTTTTGTTTAATAGGACAGTGTTCTCTACCCAAGCCAATGAAATAAACTGTTGTAAGGAGTTGATATAAAATGCGACAAATTTCTTAATCTATTTTACTAGTAACTTCTTGTAGCAGGATAAGGATAAGCTGATGTGGAGATGAAAAACATTGATTTTCTTTGTATTGCTTCATTTCAAAAATACATTTCTTTTTAGGCTAAAAGACAGTTCTGGTGTTGCATTTAATAGATAGAACACTTTACAATCCAAGAGTAATAGAAATAATAGAATCCTAAATTAGGTGATGCACTGTGTTCCTTTGTGTGGTTGAAGTGTCATTCTGGTGTTTTTCTTTTGTCAGGGGAAGCAAAAGCAAATGCACCATGTGTTATATTTATTGATGAGTTGGACTCTGTTGGTGGGAAGAGAATTGAATCTCCAATGCATCCCTATTCAAGACAGACCATTAATCAACTTCTTGCTGAAATGGATGGGTAAATATATGGATTCTGAGAGCACAGAAGGTGCTTGACTGACTGGTATTTTGAATATTTGGGTGATTTTTTTTCTTCTTTGACAGCATTGATGTTTTTCATAATTTTTTTGTAATGGTTCTAAGTACTGCTAACAGTAGCATTAATGGCCTTACTGTAAAGAGTATAGAAGCTTCTGAATTGAAGTAACACGGTAGCTGTAATTATTGTAAATATTGTCTCAATTTTTTTAGGCTGGCTATATATCTAAAGGCAGAAGTTGAACTCTGAGATCAGGGCATGTTTTTAACAAGTTGCTGGGTTAAATGTGGTCATTCTTAGATCACATGTTGTGGTTTGATCGCATGCTTTTAACTGGCTAGCTGAGGCCATCCAGAATGAGAAGGAGTAGTAGTTATTGACAAAAAAAAAAAGTGTAAATTCTGTCTCAAAAAAAAAAAAACAACCCTCACTTTTTTTTTTATACAGCTTTAAACCTAATGAAGGTGTTGTTATTATTGGTGCAACCAACTTCCCTGAAGCGTTAGATAAGTGAGTATAATATATTGATCTTTTTACAAAACATGTATTAAAAAACCAAAACAACCAAAAACCCTCCACAACAACGAAGTTGCTTGTGATAATTTTCAAGTATTACAGTGTTATAGCTGGGGTTTTTCCCCTTTTAAAAAGGATGTATATCAACCAGGTTTTGGCATTTAAAAGGTTGTTGAGTTAAATATGGAGAACCTTCTGGAAGTTTTTCTACTTAAATTGACCAGCTGCATTCCTTGTTTGCAATGCAGAATTTTCAAATGCCAAAAAAAAAGTGAAATGGGTTGGTAATAAACATCTTTCACCTGTCTTTTTTACAAGCATAAGAAAAATTTATTCTTTGCATCTGTGTGCCAGACATAGTCTATGTAGATGTCTTTAGAAATATCAGATGGATTTTTTGTTCCTTCTGTATGTTAGCAACAGTTTACTACAGCATTTTTAAATCAGTGTATTAAATTGTCTTTTCCTTAGTGCTTTAATACGTCCTGGTCGCTTTGATATGCAAGTTACTGTTCCCAAGCCTGATGTAAGAGGTCGTACTGAAATTCTGAAGTGGTACCTTAATAAAATAAAGTATGATCCATGTAAGTACTGTAATATCTTTTTAAGTAGCAGTTTTTATACTGGATCAGCCCACTCAATATATTAGTCCTTTATTCCATCAGCAATTGTGGCTTTACCATGTGTCTCAGTGAAGAACACAAAAATTGTCTAGCATGTAGTGTTACAACGGTCTTCTGAAGCAGTGTTTCTTTCTAGTCCCCAGCAGTTCATAGTGTCTTAAGAATTAGACTTCATTTGTTCTAAAGTTGAAATTTTTTTTGTTTAATGGATTTTTTTTTTTAGTAGAACATGACTCTTGCTTTTATTTCAGTGTTTCTTGATATTTCTTCATGGTACAAGCTTTTTCAGGAGCAGTATGGACCCAAATGACAAGTTTGTTTGTTTTTCCCTACAGCTGTTGATCCGGAAATAATTGCACGAGGCACAGTAGGATTTTCTGGAGCAGAGCTTGAGAATCTTGTAAATCAAGCTGCCTTAAAGGCAGCTGTTGATGGAAAAGATATGGTAACCATGAAAGAACTAGAATTCTCCAAAGACAAAATTCTAATGGGTAGGATTTTATACAAAAGACATACATGTATGTTACAGTGCACAGGGGTTTTGTTATGTGATGAAAACTTTTACAGAGAAGGAAGTTTTTATGTTGTTGTTTTTTTTGTTTGTTGGGTTTTTTTCTAAATACAAATAAGTCCCCTGTTAGTTAATTCTGAATAGAATCTTTTAAGACTGGAGAGCAGTATCTAAAATTTAGTAACATTCTTTTGAATTAAAAACTTTGCATGTTGTACTTCAGCCTAGAGGAAGACACAGGCTTGATTTCTTACCCTTCCACTATTATTCCTAAAGGAAAGGAGAGAAGAAATGATCAGAAGGCTGGAACTTCTGTCTGACTAACTTGTCTTGCTGTAACACAAAACTTAAACATTGGAGACATATACACTAAAAATATGGTCTGTTCATACTTGGGAGAAGAAATTGATTTTTCTCAGATTACTCAGACTGTATTTTAAATCTATTCCTTTAAAAGTAACTTGTCTGTACATTGTATTGTGGTCCATTTTAGACAGTAAAATACTGCTTGTAAACATTTTGCGCTTAATAACTGTTAGTTAATTTTGTTGGCATGCTGTTCCTCAGCTACTTTGTGCTCTGTTTGAGTATATGTAATGTGTGGATTGTGGTGGTTAGCTGTACAAAAAGGTTTTAATGTTCCTCTGTTTAAGGACCTGAACGTAGAAGTGTAGAAATTGATGAGAAAAACAAAACCATCACTGCTTACCATGAATCTGGACATGCTATCATTGCATATTATACTAAGGATGCAATGCCAATCAACAAGGCTACAATCATGACACGAGGAACAACACTTGGACATGTGAGTATTTCTAGAATTTTATGTTGCTTTACTGGTGTTGAGGAATTTGGCAAAAATGCTATTTGTAATTATGTTAATGCATATTGTAGTATGTTGACATACTCAGTCTCTTGGAAGACTCACTGGTCATCTTTTCTGTGTGATAGAAAACTTTCTTCCTTTATTTTGAAATAAAATAGCATATGCTAGTAATAATAGTTCACATATACAAGGAAAGAAATGTCTGTTTCATTCTGCCGCAGTTAAAATAGCACCCAATAGTGAAACTTTGAAGAATGTCTAAAGGATTGCTCAACTGTACTTTTAACACAAACATCCTTTATTGCGTTATTCTTTGTCCAGTGTGACTTTTTCTAAACCTAATAGGTTACCTACCTTGTTTCTATTATAGTTATCCTTACGTGTTTTTGTTCTGCCTTAAGCTGCCAAGCATTTGAACAGAAAAAAATATTTCTGTTATGTCTGTTCCTGTTGAACTTTATCCAAGTTAATGTGTTCAGTTAAAAAAAAATTATCAGCCTGAATCCTCCAGGCAAGTTGATTAGTGCTCAGTACAAGTGTAGGGAAACAGGAGAAATTAATAGAATAGCTCATTCTGTTTCTTCTGGTGGTAGGTTCAAGTTGCTTAATTTTATGTGGTGCTCATAACCTGTAGGAGACTACTTCAGCTGGTAGACTAAGCACCTCCAAGTAAACCTGATGAGTGCGTAGACTAGGAGGAGGCCCAGAACATCTACTTTGGATATAAACAAGAATATTTTTCAGATTGTTTTGGTATTTCTTCTGTTTATTGTTACCTGACCACAGTTCTGTCTCCTACAGGTATCTTTGCTCCCAGAAAATGACAGATGGAGTGAAACTAGATCCCAGTTGCTTGCACAGATGGATGTCTGTATGGGAGGAAGAGTAGCGGAAGAGCTCATATTTGGAAGTGATCACATCACAACAGGTCAGCTGATCGGTAGTTAAAAGAATTTTGGATCAAAGCTTCTGGACTAGCATGTTTAACTTGGGTTTCAACAACTAATTTAAATCCGTTTGCTATCTAGGTGCTTCCAGTGATTTTGACAATGCTACTAAAATTGCAAAACTGATGGTGACTAGATTTGGAATGAGCGAGAAGGTAGTATCATCAATCTTTAAATATTTATAAGGTACAAAGAAATGCTCTGTTCTGCAACTAAATGCCTATTTGGCTCTCAATGATCACAGAGACAAAGTAGTTCTGGCAAAAAAGTAATTAAGCCTTATCACTGGTCCTGCTATAGAGAACTCAACTAGAAAACCTGTATATTTGACAGTTTAAAAATTAACTTGCAAGATCTTTGCCTCAAAATTGCCTTGAAAGTTACTAATGTCTACAGAAAAAATTTATAATAAAACCAAACATTTTAGTATTAAGGGTAGTCTTGAGTTTTGTGGAGGGAGGACTGGCAACATTGAGTTTTCTAGGCTTCTAAAGAAATTTCTTTAGTTATCTTTACCCATCAAGTATTATACCCATCTATACCCATCAGTAGTCTAGGGATTTTGGTTTGTCTTTTAAATAAGAAGACGCTTTAATCAGTATCTGTACTGTGACCTATTGAAACAGAACTCTGCGGTGACTACATAGTTGATGAATAGACTTCTGGTTTTGCTTCTGTTGCAAACACTTCAACAAGCATTTGATTAATGATTTTATTTGTTTGCATGTGGAAGCAGTAGGTTTTGAAGCTGTTAAGTGTTTTATGTGTATTACTGCAACAGTGGCAAGATAAAGATATTTTTGTGTTGTTTAGCTTGGTGTTATGACCTATACTGATACGGGGAAGGTTAGCCCTGAAACTCAGTCTGCAATTGAACAGGAAGTACGAACACTTCTGCGGGTAAGATTCACTCTCCCTCCACTCTGAAACATTTATTTTGAGATGAATCGAGCATTAGGCTACTTGATTATTCAGTTTAGTAATGTATACTCATGAAAATACACAGGTGGATTCCCAAATATTTAGTGTAACTGCAACTTTGAATCTTTGCACATCAAAACTTCTTGGTGATTATCATGCACAAGTAGTGAGAAACAAGTTGTTGGTGGGTTCTTTAATATACTCTTAACACTTGCAAACTATGTTTGGTCAGGATTTGTTTTGCCTAATCAATTCATAGGAAAAAAATTTTGTTACTCCTATGTTTCATAACTTGCAGTTAAATTGCTTTGTATAGAATTACAGGAATGGCCATATCAGATCAGAGAGTTGCCTTCTCCAGTATCCTGTTCCTCACAGTGATCAGTATCAGATGCTCAGGGGAATTTGTAACGTTTGATAATCATAGAACTTGCAGGTCACTGTTCTGATAATCTGAATTAGTTTGGTACAGGCGGGAGAAATATTTATGTTGTAACATTAAAACAAGTAACACTTTTGCTGTAACTGTTTTTGAACTGACTTGGTCGTGTAAGAACTGTTTCTGTAGAACTGAAAGTTAAGTTGAAGCTGGTAATGCTGACAATGTGCATCTACTTGCAGCAACTGGTAACTTGTTGGGTAGCTTTCAGCTTTCTAAAAGTACATAATACTTTGAAAGTTTTATAAACTTTTAAAAACTTTAGTCTTTCAAATCAATTATATTTAATTGGCAAATTTTCAAATCTAGTAAGTCTTTTTTAAGTCATATGTAAAAATACTGAGGCTTGTCTCAGGATTTTAATTTTAGTCCTACTTCTGCAAAATGCAAAGGTGGCGTAAAGTTGGGTTGTGGTTTATTTGGATTTGGGGTTTCTTTTTATTAATTACGTGAGCTAGATTTTAAATCTCCATAAGACAGGAGCTGTGCTAGCTATAAAATGTAAGGCATAACTTTAAATGTTTGTTTCAAGCTGTATTTATCTGGAAACAATTTTTAAAGTGAAATCTTGCTGTTGTTTTTGTTGTAAAGTCTTAAAATCTCCTTACGCTTTTTTTTTTTAATATTAGGACTCATACGAGCGAGCAAAGACCATCCTGAAGACTCATGCAAAAGAACACAAGAATTTAGCAGAAGCTCTATTGAAATATGAGACTCTGGATGCCAAAGAAATCCAAATTGTTCTAGAGGGAAAAAAGCTAGAAGTAAGATGATAACTTCTGAAATGCAGTAACTGATGATTTGAAGAATGTACATCTAGCAATGCAGTAGTCTTACGCAGCATAGCCTTTTTTTCCCTTTCTGATGTGTGTATGGCATTAGTGACACTTTAATATTACTCTGTCTCTTGTGAGCTTCTGTTACTCATCTTTTTGTTGTGTCTCATCAGAATAAGACACACAAAATAAAGTAAATTCCTCATCCTCTGCTCCCTATGCTCTTCCCACAAGAATTATTCAGAAAGAGAAATCTCAGGGTTGAATGCAGAATTTTGATTGAGTCGAATGTGTTGAAGCTGAGAAGAAAAACATGCCAATATACTGGTGTGTTTTGGCATAGCTTCCTGGGTCATACTGCTACATGTGTTTGAAGTGATACCCCACAGTGGAATGTTGGATGGATAGTGACTGATTGATTTGTAAGACAGTAGTACGTAGTCTAACGAATGTTCGTACTCTGAGGCTAGAGATCACTTTTACAGAAGACTTCTTAATTAGAAATGTAACAAAACATGCCAAGGAATGAAGCGGCGACACAGTGCATCTCTCTCAAAGGGAGTTGAGGGAGCCTTATGTTAGACAAAATCATTAGTGATTGTGTTTTCAGTGCTCTTGGGGTTAAAATACACACATGTATGGCTGGGAGAGAAATTTTAGTGCAAAACCAACAGGCTAAACTTGTCTAAGCCTCTTTGGACCATGTTTTGGGCAGAAGCATGGCAGGGATAAGAAATAACCTGTGACCTCTGATGTGCTGCTGACAAGATTATTACTTTTTTTTATTACTGCAGTAGATGGATAACAGTGCTTTTACACCACTGGAGATTCTACAGAACTAGTTTTTACTAATGCTATGTGCGAGCGTTTGATAATCCAAGAGAATTTTTTCAGAGAGGGGGCAGTATTGCTCAGTAAAGAGTAGTTCAGAAAATGTTTGAAGCATGTATTTGTTTCAGGTAACATTCCCAGTTCTGTTCTACAGTAGAAGTTGGGAAATAAAACCTTTTCTTTCAACCCTTACAGAAACCTCTGGAAATTCAAAGAGAATAAGAATACTGGCATGTAATTGCTAGTGATTACTTCCACTTGACTGGGAACTGCTTCTGTTTTCAAAACCTTTCTTATCTCATGGAATTGATTTTTAGGAATAACACATCTTGATCATAATCTTTCTGCACAATTAATTGTAGACTCTTGGGACTGTAAACTTCTGTTGCAGAGAGGGCCCTTTATTAGCATGTTAATGCTGAAAGCTGCCATACTTGGACATGAAAATAGTTGGGCTGGTGCCAATAAATGTGAATGGAAATTGGCAACTATACTTAAAACTAGAGGTAACATAGTATTTTAGAATTTTCTGAGTGTAATGCTTGATTATAACCTAGTTTTTTAGTAAGAGCACATGCATTTTTTTTCTTTCAAGCCCAGGATAACTTCTATTTGCCTATTTTTGTCAGCTTACTATAGTGACATCCCAGTGCAGTGTGGGAGAACTCCCACATGTTATAAAACAGTATAGCGAATGTCTAGGCTGACTAGTTACAGTTGTACATGTATTTTAGGAATATGCCAACAGAAACAGAAATATACTGCATTTGTTTTTTGAGTAATAAAGGTTAATTTTAATTATGCATATTGGTTTTCTTTTTATTCATTGTAAATTGCTATAAAAATGTAATACCAAGTTCCCTACTATGTAAATCGAGGTGTATAAAACATTTAAACTTGTAAATAAATTTAAGATGATGGCAAAATTGCACTCTCTCTAATTAGATTTCTAGGGAATGTTGTCCCTGGAAATTTCAGTTGCTGCTTCAGTAGTGGGACTTGAATGGGAACTTTTCCAGCTAATGTGAATCTGCATTTAGAAGCAAAAGAAAAAAGCTTTTCACTTTTGCAGTCACTAAAATCTGTGTTGAATGATCTGGTTTGTGGGGTAAGTCCTGGAGCGTCTAGCTTAGCTTCCGTCATTAAAAAGCTTCTTGTTTATGCAAAGAACAGTCTCAAAAAAGAATAGGGAAAAAAAGGTGCTATCTCATTGGATTGTGTAAGAAGACTGTTAAGAGATTAGCCATCACATGTAAAAGGTATCTGCTTTTTGGTCAACTTAACAGCAGAGTTGTTACTGAAGAGTTCACTGTCTTACCTAGGTGGTTGTGTGCCTGCCAGTATCTGTGGAGTTTCAAAGAAACTTGTCTATTTAGGCACTGGGTTTGACCTCTGGTGTTCTCGGGTGCATCTAGGAGCTGAAATTCCTCCTTACATAATCACTGTGGACAGAGATAGGAGATCACAAAGGCAACTTCCGAACATCAGTCTGATGGTAAGAATAACCTCAGTTCCCTTCAAGTAGACAGGCTCGTGTTGTTGGAAACGGGGCAGAGCCCAGTACTTTCAATGGGCCGTTTGCCTTTTAAATAGCCCTCAACTGGTCACAAGTACAGTTACAAATGAAATAAGAACTTAAAACTTGGGCATGATTCTGAATTTTCTGCATTCTCATGGCTGACTTATGCCAGAATTATGTTGTCAGGCTTAATACAGAGAAAATGCAAACTTCCAGTAAAAGGTGTGGCATGCTCTTTCTAGCTGCCTCCTACTGTGTGATGACCTGAGTCAGCTGAAATGTCACAAGTGTTTTCTGAATCTTGATCCCTTGAACTGGCTGAAAATAGAGCAGTCAGGCCATTGGTAGTTGTCTGCTCTCTTGATCTGCTTGGAAACCTTTCCCAGAAGCAAGTAGAGATATTTTTGCTTCTAAAACATGGCAAAAGAACAGGGAAAGAAGCAAGAGAGGCCACTTATTCTACTTCCCTCAGAAGTGTGTTTCTATTCTCTTTTTTTCTAAAAGCTTGACTCCCATTTCTTCTATCTAGTGTTTATTAAGATGCCTTCCTCTGGTGTTGGCCAGTGTGAGTGCATCAGCTGTTCCTTTAGCAGCTCATCAGTTAAGTATTGTTTGCCTTACCTGTCTTAATAAAAGCACTAATATGGACACTGAAGCATTCAGTGGGAAAAGGGAGGACTCTGGTGCATGGGGGTGGGTTCGTTTTTGTGTTTGTTGTATCTAGCTTTGTGGTTAGTGCTCTGTCCTGGAAATTTTATGCTGCTGGCTAGAATACTGAGGTTCAGATGCTACAGACTGTAGTAGCACTGGGTTTTGACTTCCACCTCGGGATCACATTTCTTCTAAGGTTGATACTAGTTTTCAGTCTTTACTATTTCAAGAACTGCTTCTCCTATGAACAAAAGTTGCTCTTCAATTTTGGAGTGTTGCAAGACCTGTAACATTTTTTAGAAGCATTTATTGATTATTACAGAGCTACTTTTACAGTAGGAAGGTTCAGCTGCCCTAGTGATGGAACACCACCAGATGTGGTTTGAGTATCTTTCCATGTAGGAAGGTTCCACAGAAAAACTGGAATGAGAGGGAAATAGAATGCTCTTTGGGCATAGAAATTTTCAGGAAAGTTCAGGATACCTTTTGCAAAGACTTTCGTATAAGAATTCTCAGGCTATCATAGAGGGATGGGTGGTAGGGTGATTGGTAGTTTTGTTTTAATCTCTGCAAAGCAAAAAACCATATTGCTCAGGAACCTAGGGTTAAAAGTAGGTATGGGAAAACACATCAGCTGAAGTGACTTCTGTTTTTATGCACATTAAGTACACCAAAAAACTACTTCGTGCTTGACGTTTTGCTTTTACAAAGGGATATATGATACATCTTAATGATGACTGTAGCTGTTACTCTTCAGAGCATCTCTCTAAAGGCCTTACTTTCATCCATCACTGTAGTATCTGAGCAACTAAAATAAAGTAGCATTTGTATATTCACAGCAAAGTTTCAGGTAAACTCCATGTAGTCTCTGACACTGCTTCTCCCTGCCCTCTACCCAGTTTGAGAGGGTGTGCACAGAATCAAAAGCGTTTGAGAAGTTTTGGGGTTTGATTTCAATTTCCTTTGTTGTGGTAACTTTTGGTTAGTGTTTTTTAGACAGAGCTGCCAGTGTTCTTTGTTAAATGCTTTTGTTATATTTGGCCAATACTGGTCACACAATTCTTTCTTGGCTTTCGGTGACTTATCTTAAGCATTGTTATGTAGCTTTCATGGTGACTCTAAGTGGAAATTAATTGAGTGCCTGTAGACTGACTCACTGCTCTGAAAATTAGTAGCATTACTTTCAGTTTGTGCTGGAAGTAAATTATTAATTACTGAATAATTTGACTTCCAGTTTATTGTCGCCATAGAAGTATCATGAAAGAAACAGAAGGATTCTGCCTTGTCTACTTGGTCTCATGCAACTGGTCAGAAATCCCCACAGAACAGAGACAGACCCTGGCTCTGTCCCACTTGCTGCATCTCTGAGAAGAAACACTGCACAGCTGCGGATTTGGGCTGAATGGTTTAATAACTCCTAGACCGATTTTTCCAAAATTACACACATCAGTTACCATCAGTCATTTGATCTCCAACAAGTAGCTCATTAAATTGGCAACAGATTATGAATTGACTTTTCATCCAGCATGTTGTCCCTACAGGTTAAAAGACAACCTCATATATTCTTAATTCTTACTCAGTGAAGGTTCCTCTGCTCTATGAACGCATCACAGGATGGGGTGTCACTGATGAACACAACAGAATTTATGGGTTTATGATTTTAGGACTGACTGGCTGAAACCCGAGTTGCTTTTTCGCTTTGTCCTCAATCAGGGCCCGATTCTCTCCAGTGAATCCCTGCCCTATTGTGCTGTGGTGGTTACCCAGGAGGTCCACAGAGCTTCAATCACCCACAGCATCTCCCTTCACAAATTGCAGCCAGCAGGAGCTACACACAACCTCCTTAAAGCTACATGATGTTTAATCTTCACAAGAAAAGGGGACACCAAGAAAACAGATCTGAACAGAAAATGTGAGTCAGTTTGTCTTCCCTGAGGGTGCTGCATTAAAGCAAACAGAAGCCCTTTATTAAACTGAGTAGACCTGCTGAAGCTAACAGATTTTTACTCACAGCTAACAGTGGGAGTAACAACTCCTGTAAAGGGCTCCTAAAGTTTAAAAACCCAAGAGCTCGCCTGTGATTAGCAACAGGGTAATTTTTACAGCAGTGGAATAGTGAGTAAAATAGCCCAGGTCTTCAAACACGATGTTAAGTTTCTCAGAAAGGGATTTCTGACTCCATGGCGAGCTCCTCGATAGCTGGTGTTTAGACTAGAAATGAATATGCAGCAATTCCCAGGGCACCCTGGTGGGAAGAAGATACTGTAGAAGTCATGTATTTTTCACACATGTAGCAGCAAGACATTTGGAATTTGTGACATGGGGTCCAAACATACAGATCCAAATATTTCTTTGGTCATAAAGTCAGGAGTTTCAGAGTGAGAGCCAGAGGTTCTTTACAACTTGAGACGTGTATCCCCTCAGATACACAGAAGTAATCAAAATCTATGGAAACGCTAGAGTTGATGAACACCAGAGTTAAAGCCACCATGGTAGGAAAAGCTTTTATAATTCTCACTGACGTTTCTGAATGAGTAGTATTATGGCTGTGTATGACCATAAATATGAGTATGGCAAATCAGGACAGATGGTCCATCCTTTGGTTGCAAACCCAGCTCAGTTACAAACAAGAAAACTCCTTCTGCTCTATTTATCAACTTGACGACCATACATCAGTTGCACAGTCTTCACAAGTGCTTACTCTGAAGGCTGACCTGGTTAGAAATCAACGGGGGGTTAATTAAATTTGCTCCTCAGGATGTGTACATCGCATCAGTGAAGAGATCGTTCAATATTTGCGTTCCTTAAATAGGTGCGTGGCAGAGTTACAAAGAAGTGAAAGCTCCTATTTTCAGTATATGCAAATGAGAAGCAGCTGGTGCGTTTGGGGCAGGACAGGGATTGAGCAGAGCTAGGTTTAGGGGAAACAAGGTCTCACATGGTTTATGCAAACACTGGGCTCCTGCCTGTAGAGGAGTACTGGAACTATTTATCTTTTCTGCACTTGAAATGAATACCTCCAATTGACAATGGAAAACACGGCTGAGCAGCTGAATGCAAGAATCAATTGTTCTCTTGGGACTTGCCAGGTTACTTGTCTGTAGAAATGCCAAGTTTGCTAGTGCTTTTCAGAAAGAACTGGTTTTAGCACTCAGCAGAACAAACGTCTGTCCTCATCTTTGAACTGTCCCAGTTGTGTTCCACAGCTTGAATCCAGTACTAGAAAACATGGGGAAAAAATACTGAATTCAAACCAACAGAAGTGGATTTAACACTGCCTGGGATGGTGGCTTCTGCAGAGAAGGTCACTGAGGAACGCACAAAAAACCTGAGCCTCTGTAGTTTATAGGCAAGCAATAGCACAGAAATAGGGGAAAAAACAAGAGTTTGTAGAAACGTGTCCTCAAGGAGAGGTTAAGTGATATGTAATAGAGAGCAGAAAAGGAGGATTACTCCTCCTTGCGCACTGGACACTGCTGCTGCTGCTGAGAAGTGCTGACTCTTGAACTGTCAAAGGCTCTTTCATTGCTAGTTTTGGTCTTCAAAGGCAGAGGCTGCAGCAGCAAAAATACAAAAGCTAAATAAAAACCTGGCACTTTGCTCACCTTAAATTCCATTACTACCTTTGCCAAAAA